TTCTTGGCCAGGGAGGGCTTGTCTTGCACAGGCACGCTTTGCTTATCAGAGTAGTTTTTTGTGTCCCTAATCTCTCTTTCCTGTCCTGTTTAGTGACTTCTGCTCCAAGGTGAAGAACACAATCTACTGCAATGTTGAGCCATCTGACTCCAACATGCTATGGGAACCAGAGTTCATGATTGATACTATTGAAAATCCATCTGCGCATAATTTTACATACACCAACCTGGGCAAAAGCCTCAATGAAAACCCAGCCAACCGCTACAGTTTTGTCTGTAATGCACTTATGCATGTGTGTGTGGGACACCATGACCCAGACAGGTGAGAGGCAGAATTTTAAGTCAGAGTAAGAAAGCCAGGAGCCATTCTGCAGCTGTCTTGGGGTGTGAGGAAGAAGGACCCAAGGCTGGGCTCCCTTAGAGATTTGCTGAACTGATGGTCTGCATGCATAGCAAAGTTGACTCTCTGCTCTTTTTATGGTTTAACAGGGTGAACGACATTGCTATCCTGTGTGCTGAGCTAACTGGCTACTGCAAGTCTCTAAGTGCCGAGTGGCTGGGTGTGCTCAAAGCCTTGTGCTGTTCCTCCAATAATGGGACCTGTGGCTTCAATGATCTCCTCTGCAATGTTGATGCAAGTGCAAACATTCAAAAGGGGAAAAGGAGTTGAAGCAGGAGTGGAGGGATCCATTGGGAGAAGGCAGAAATGAACAAGGGATGGAGGCTTTATCTTCTGAGGACAGGGGAAAGGCTTTGAATACCAGGGCTACCTTTTGGTGTTTGTTGCAGCCTGGGCTGATCATGGACATTGACCTGGGGTTATGGGCCCTTCTACCCCCCAGGTCCTAGGCAAGCTGAGGAATTGCTGACAGAGGGAATGAGGCAGAGGCTGTTGTGATCACTGGCTGATCTCCTCTCTTCCAGGTCAGTGACTTATCTTTCCATGATTCCTTGGCTACCTTTGTTGCCATTCTCATTGCCCGGCAGTGCTTGCTGCTGGAGGACCTGATTCGCTGTGCTGCTATCCCCTCACTCCTCAATGCTGGTAAGTCCATCCCTGGAGGAAGCTAGTCTTGATCTCAGTTCTGGCCCAAAGGCCTGTGCTTAGTGGATATTTTGTGAACCCCATGGTTATGAAACATGCCTCAAAGATTTCTTTTATAGTGTGGTACTTGAGAATTGAATGCTTTCTGGCTTTTTGGTTTCTATGAAAACCTGATTATGCTAAGATTTTTCAGTACCTTTCTCTCTGGAGTTTGTGTGCAAGCTGAAATAAGCACTGATATATGTTATTAGCCACACTGTCTGACTCAGCACTGAACTCCAGCAGTACACCTTCCCCTGATAATATGGTTCAGCTTAGCACTTTGGCTAAAGCAGCAGGCCTGCAGTGCCTGGGTCGCTCTGCCTGTATTGTGCTGCCACCACCCTTCCTAGCTTTGCTCTGGGGATTGCCGTATCCAGGCTCTTGACAGAGTGAAGTTGGGAAGATGGTGCAAGCAGAATGCAGTGCATGTCACTGGGGATAATACTGATGGATTTGCTCACTTGCATGTTAATTGCTGCACATGCTCTGTATTTGTAAATACAATAAGGCTGCTGCAGCTTTTCAGCTGGCTGCTCCAGAGCAGTGCACTGTGAATAGCTTTTGGATTGAGTGTCAGCTGTCCTAGGGCTTAAGAAGTCTCAGTTGGCTGTTTTGTTTACATAGCCTGCAGTGAACAGGACTCGGAACCAGGAGCGCGTCTGACCTGCCGGATTTTACTCCATCTGTTTAAGACTCCACAACTGAACCCATGCCAGCAAGATGGCAGTAAGTGAATGAAAGTAGAGCCTTTCTTTATTGTGAATGTACTGAGGCTCCTGCACCCCAAGAAAAGAGATACTGGACCCTACATTTAGAGATCATGACCTCCTTTCTTTGAATAAAGCAGGCAAAGCCTGATACACTGCTTTCTGCAGGGGACAAAGGACAATATCCTTCCATTTATGTCACTCCATAGTAGCCAGGCATGTTGGGGAGGAGGCCTCTTAGAGACAGAGAATCAGCCAGTAGAGGTGGCCTTGCCATCACTAAGCCATTAGAGTAATGATCACTTCTTTTTTATGTCTAGAGCTTTGTGTAGCTTCTTAACTTGGTGCCAGAAGCTGCTATTTTGCAGCACTCCCTTTTTGTCTGATGATGGAAACAGTCCAGGAAGCTCTGTTCTTGGCTTCTCATCTGTATCCTGATAGCTCAGATCACTGAACCCAGCCTGTATTCAAGTTTAGGGCACTGTTGGAGCTTGGAGTTCATGACACAAGGCACTGCTCCCCATTTAGATTTCATGGTTCAGTTGTCACAGCATGATTGGCACTATGCTCTGTGAAACTTAATTAAATTGACCCCCTGTTACAGTTGGGAAAAGGACTAGCCTCAGGATTCTCTGAGCTGGATTCTGTGGTACTGCCTGGCACATAATTCGGGCAGCTCTGGAGCCTGCGTCTTTCTCCCTTGCTGAGTATTGCCCTTCCCATTGTCCATTTTGCAGACAAACCGACAGTGGG